ATGTTCTGTATTAATTGATGATCATGTGACATCATTTAATGACAATGAGTGACATGTGATTCCCATTTGACGAATTCGTAAAACAATACATAAGACATTAAATCTATGTTAGTACTGTTATAGCTTCGGTGTCTTTGTAGAGGTGTTATTGGCTGTTTATTTTGATACATTTACAGTTACTTTGAGTCTATACCGATGCTGCTTTGAGTCTATACCGATGCTACTTTGAGTCTATACCTATTCTGCCGTGGAATCGTCTACCATTTGTGGGTATTTGAAATCCCAAAATAAACCGCTTCTTAATTATTATAAGTTGGAATTCATAAGCGATATGAAGTAGTGTTGGATATTTTAAAGAAAATTTAGCTTTTCACATGAAAAATTGCCTTCAAATTAATATTTGTTTGAACAGATCAACTAGTGAATTTGATATACGTGCGAAAAGAAAATTTACCTTGATAATAAGTATAAAAAAAACTCAATCTTCTCTCATATAAAACAAAACCTACGATTCTCTGTGGATTTCGTAATTAATTTTTCTTCCACTAAAACAACTGAATGCATAAACATGTAACTTTAGTCTGTTTTTGTATAAAATGTTCTTTTTCTCTTTTTAGGTAAACTTAATCTTTATTATCCTGAATTTTATTACCCAATCGGCTGTCAGACTAACGATAAAAATAGAATATTGAAATCATAAAAGTTCGAAAAGACATTTTTGTGGCTACCAGTAAGAAATTGACGTAACAACTTATATTTTCACATATTGTATATGTATTATAGATAATAATGTAAATATGTATTCAATTGTTGACATCACACCTCTAATGATAGGTCGATAGCTTCAGGACGTATACAATGACAACATTACACAAGGCGTGTACATATGTTTATTTCCTAGTTAAAACAAACCGTGTCATGGTGGTTGATATAGCTCAGATAGGCTAATTTCATTAAAGAAAATATTATGGAACCGGAATTATATTTCTAGTTCATCTTGATTTATCTGGAGGCGCGGGGGGGGGGGGGGGTGTTGTTGTTTGATGTTACTTCCAGTGGCATATCTTTCGCTTTCGTGCATATTTAGGACGAGAAAATAATGAATCACAAAGAAGATTCTGCCAAAAAGAGTAGACTGGTATATAAACCTTAAAGAATTGACATGCAATTGTTCAAAAAAGGATATGTAGTTTAGGGACAGAAAAGCTCTTTTAATTCTAATATTAAGATAACGCACAAACTTTAAGAGTTGCCATAAGGTCTTGTTAAATAACGTGCAGACGATGGCATTCCCCAAACAATTGTATAAGAGGGTTTGGATGGGGCAGCGTTGTAAGCTACACATTACGGAATTGGTCATTATCTTTATAGATGAAACCCTTCGAATACCTGTAATATCATAGTTATTCTCATTCCTTTAACTTTGTTTTTAGTAAATAAATAGTTTTTCTTGTTTTACCTTTTCTCTTTTGCTGTTCTTCATTGAAATGCACAAAAAAAACTAGAGATAAGTAACAAACTTAGGTATTGCACAACAAGTTTTAGTATGTGGGATATGGAAAAAACTTCACATTTTAATTATTTTGTGAAAGTATTGAGCTGAAAATTTATATTAAACATTTACAATGGAAGGAATCAAAGGAGATGTAATGTATAACGCCAAAGAATGCAATCAAACATACAAACATACAAAAGCATAAGACAGCTAAATGTAAAATTACGGAATTAAAAACCAGAAAAGTATAAATGCAATATTTATTATTTCGGACACTTAATCGTCTCGAGTCTAGACAGGTTATGAATAAATCTAACATAAAATTATTTTTTTGTACAAATGTAATATCATAAGTATACAGATGTTAAATTTCCTTGTGCAGATGAAAATGACAATTGTAATGATATAGTGCAACTCATTTCTGGTGAATTTGTCATTTGGTGAATGGGGGTTGATGGGAGATTTCTGATTTGTTAAACTTAATTGCAGCTTTATTTTCGTTGGGGTGATTTAGGGCTTGAAATATTATTTAGACACCTGTCTCTTGTTGAAGACAATATATTGACCTTCAGATGTCTTTGAGGTAACTTTTTTTAGTCATATGCTTTGCATCTAATTATTATCGCTAATGACCTCTTTACACTGCAATATAATCTTTAATTGCATGTTAGTTAAGAATAATAAGTTTAGCGCGCACGAAAATTAATACTATTATAGTATTAATTTGCGTGCGCGCTACACTTATGTTTCTAGAGTTATCTTCATCAGAAATGTTCGAGGCTATAAGTTTAAACGCCAAAAATAGAACACTTTTGAGGGCATACTTAACAAATAGGCCTAAAGAGAATAGTCAATAACTATGTCATGGACAACTTAGACAATGACATAAAAATTGGCATATCAGATTGAAAACAGTCACGATCAAAATCTACATGCCTCTTTTGCGATTCTGTGAGAGTGCGCATGATGCTAAATGTAAAAATAAGAAGATGTGGTATGATGGCCAAAGAGACAACTCTCCACCAGAGACCAAATGACGTAGAAATTTACAACTTTAGGTCACTGTACGGTGTATGGTTGAGAGGGGAGTTCTGGTTCGATCTGTTAGACATATGACCGGGAGAAAGTACCAATGAAAGCGACTTATCATTGAAATTTTACTTGCAACGAGAAATACGACAGGCGAAACTGGTTTAGCAGGAACTGCCTACTCTTCAGGAGCTTCTGAGTTAACTACATAATTTGGTGGGATTCGTGTTACTCAAAATAAAGTTTTGACTTTGTTTGCACCGGTCCTAAGTCAGGAACCTGATGTTCAGTGGTTGTCTTTTGTTGATGTAGTTCCTAAGTGTTTCTCGTTTCTCGTTTTCTATAAAGATTAGACCGTTGGTTTTCCTGTTTGAATGGTTTTACACTAGTCATTTTTGGGGCCCTTTATAACTTGCTGTTCGGTGTGAGCCAAGGCTCTGTGTTGAAGGCCGTACTTTGACTTATAATGGTTTACTTATACAAATTGTGACTTGGATGGAGAGTTGTCTCATTAGCACTCATACCACATCTTCTTATATCTTTATACGGTATGGGTTTTTCTCATTGTTGAAGGCCGCACAGTTGCCTACAATTGCTTACATCCACTTCATTTGAACTTTGGTGGAAAGTTGTCTCATTGGCAATCATACCACATCTCCTTATTTTTATATTTTGTGGGTTGTGTTTTGTTGACTTCTGTTTGTATTGTCATCGTTTTTTTTTCTTTTTTGCCATGGCGTTGTCTGCTTTTATTCGACTTGTGGGTTTTAAATTACCCCCTTGGTCTCTTTATCTCTCTTTACGTAAAGACTTGTGAAACATTTTCTTTGGAAAGGATAACAAGAATAAATCAATATTTTTCGTTGTTGATAACAATGTTCATATCATTAAGCATTAAGAACAAATATTTCCTGTATCCCAAAAAAAAAAAAGAATTACTTACACTTTAACTGGGCGCTTAATTTGTAGTAAACTCACTATAACATTCTTTTGTCAACACACAACAAAATATAAAGCGGAACAAGAGATGCACTCGTTTTTGACACAAGAATTGGGCGAATGTGTATGATCATGCTTAAAACCACATAAAAATGGGATAGTATATCAGACGTGTAATATGGTGATGGTTTATACCGATCGTAAATCAATATATTTGAACCACATGATTAAAACTCAAGTAAACTGTATGATTTTTTTAAAATGATTCCACTTTCCCCTGCAACCAACTAACTATTGTACAACAAAAAAAATAGGTATATAAAATTGTATAACTTGTTTTTACTTTGCTTTTTAAATATATGTACAAATGTCCTCTCCAAGCTATCTTGTAAAAATAAGGAGATGTGGTATAATTGCCAATGAGGCAACTATCAACCATAGTTCAAATGCAGCGGATATAAGTAATTATAGGCGACCGTACGGTCTTCAACAATGAGAGAGAAAAAAATACCATATAATAATCGGCTTTAAAAGGCCCCGACATGATAATTGTGAAACAATTCAAACGAGAAAAATAACGGCTTAGTTTAAAATAAAACAATTAACGAAAAAAAAATGACAGAAATGAACCAACGACAACCACTGAACTCCTGACTTGAGACAGGCACATAAAGAATGTGGCGGGTTAAACATGATTTTGTATCTATTTTGAGCGAACAGTAATATCAAAATTACTATTTTCGTCACAGGTAATTTTGTGGTCCTCTTTGCGGTCTGCGTTAAATTTAAGTAATGTATATTTTTTTTAACTCAAAGAAAACGATTGGAATTAACACATTTAACGCTGATACACCTTATGTTAAATTGCAGAATATAAGTAATTTACAAAAATGTACTTATATTGTCGGACAATATAAAATTATGTGTACTCCTAACAAAACAAGCTTCGCTTTTTTACTTGTTTCTAAAGCTCGTACAATTAAAATTTAACATTTTCCGACAATATTGATTTCGTATATTGTATAAATTCTTGAACTATATATCGTTTTAAAAGATGTATTTCAATCATTTCAAATTTCAAATTTAAATAATGAATTTAATAAAAATAAATCAATTTACAATTTATTGAATTATTGTATTAAAGCTGAGATTTAAAACTTTTTCAATGCAAAATTGTGCTTAGTTTAGGCTCGTTTTTGGTTTGAATTTTCCGAAACTATTTTTCCAAACCTTAAGTCACGAGCGTATACCTTTAGAACGTGAAGACTACATGTATTTCCGAAACACGACTTCTCATTAGCACACAATTTAGTATGTTCTGGCTATATTTACAACCCTTTGGACAGGTGCTCAACCTTCCTAAAGATTCTGGTTATATTATTTTAACAGAATTTTGGCAAAACCTTTCGGAATTTTGAGTCCCCAATGCGCTTCAACTTCGTACTTTATTTGACCTTTTTAACTTTTTTGATTCGAGCGTCACTGCTGAGTTTTTTGTAGACGAAACGCGCGTCTGGCGTTCAAAATTTAAATCCTACTACCTATGAAGAGTTTATTTACAATACGTTAACAGATAAATTGTGGGTGAAAAGTTCAATTCAGAAATTTATTTACATAATTGTTCTCGAAAATTAAGGTTGTTGCTCCTGTAAGTACAATTAACCTTATGCTAATGTGTTATTCACGCGCTTTTGATTTTAATTTCCCCAAACATTTTATGTTCTTGGTTCCGACGCTGTTTTGTGTCGAGTGCATGTATGTCCTACAAACACATGTCGTCCGTACTGCAATCAGTATCACACATTTTGGGAATGAGTTCTCGGAATAACAAAAGAGATGTATCTTACCATCACATTACACCATTTGAAAGGACGTATTACAGTTGGTTCGATAGAAAAGGGTTAGGATGCGGTCCTTCATTTCTGTATTCTGCCATTTTTATGCCTTTTTTCTCTATTCTTTATACTTTTTGCCCATTATTCTCTATTTTTTTTATATTTTAGCACCTCATTATTCTCTATTCTTTATTTTTTGGTCTATTTTTCTCTATTCTTTACATTTTTTGCCCATTATTCACTATTCTGTAAACCCCCATCCACACCCTCATAGAATATTTATAAAATTATTTGACAGACGACCCAAAAGTTGAATAACCGAAGTAAGTAAAATCTTTACGGACAAATGAAACATACAGCTATGAAAGTCGGCGTGACAGAGCCTTGTGGATTACTCCGTAGATTAATGCACATGTATTTCAAACTGGATACAAATTACACAAGAACACGTTTATGTAAATTATCAACATAATAAAAGAAAAGATGATAATAAAACACTAATTCGTGGTTAGATAATATAACTATTTTGACACTTTACAGTTAATTGTCACTTTCATATTTGTACGTACTTCTAAATAATGATTCCATATTTTAGACATGAATTAACAATAACAAATAGTATAATATTTTGATTTGTCGGAAGAGAGATTTTCCCACAAATTTAAATGTGGGTTTTCTATTCATGTTTCATAATTAGTTGTCGTATTAAACAAAGAATAACCACATATTATGCGTAATATAAATATATTGCAGATCAGCAGTTTTAACGCCACGTAGTAGTATGGAAAAAAATATGTTAAAAAGATAAATGAAATTAAATTCGATCATTAATAGAATCGTTTAATTTGACAAAAGAAATGCAATCACAAAATAAGATTTTTCGCGAAGTGTTTCAAGGACTGGATACACAAAAATGTACATGGGATAATTGCATGAATGAAGAATTTATTGGGTTTTTTTAATGTCCAGTGGCAAATTTTTCATTCTTTTTCGGGACAAGACAAATTCACAAGAATTCAATACACAAAATCTGCATAAAGGGTATATCGGGATGAAAGATGAGACATTTAGACTGTCAAGAGAAAAGAGGGTGCGGTGAATGGGGCATTTTTACAATCTTTCAACAGTTCGCCTATGGACTCTCAATGAACTGTTTGAACGGTTTATGTACACACAGAGAGCGTGGTACTGGTACTGTATATCTATTCATCCCACATGGTCAAACGGATGCCCTCTTTAGCATGAATTTTAGCAGTAGTTTTACTGCAGTAAATTGATCATATTGCACTATGCCTATTTTTAAGTAAGTCATAGGTATGCATCATATTATATAAATGATGAAAACTGTGACCATATCTAAATGTTCACATTTGTATAGGTAAGTCTAAGTCGAAGATTTCCTCAGAGGATAGGAGGGGTTCAAACCTCAAACCCTCTCTGTGTCCGGCAATATAATGTGCACCGGTCATTTTACAAGTAAGATTCAATAACACCTAGTCAATTTGTAAGGTGATTTGTGATATAAAAAGTTCTGATAGGCGAACGAATAAACACACAAAATCACTGTATACACGGCTTCATTTGGTGGCTGAGATTAAGACATAGGCAGTGATCTTCTTTAGAACACATGTTTTCTTCACTTTTAAATATTTTAAACCTAAAAATTGGAACGGATAGAATCATTCCCAAACTCACCAAATACTGTTATATTTTCCAACCCGTAGTATACTTGCTCTCAGACACAAAGCATTCATCTTTTGTGGATGGGCATGGTATTCTAATAAATTGTTTTATTATTAAGTTTTTGAAATATAATATTTTTTTTTCAGAAAGTGAAGATGGTTTGTTTCTATTGAAAATTAGGGAAAACAATAAATTTGACATTGAGTTTAAAAACAAATTGTGTTCCTCTATGTTATTTGTGTTTTAGTAGTAATATAGTAAAAAAAAATGTGTGACCCGAAAGGGAAAAATCATGCCCTCCAAAAAAAAAGATGAATGGGTGGTGCCTAAACGACAAATTAGCTATGAGCGTACGTTTTAATAATGCATATGCGTATACAATGTATGAAGTTCACTTGCCTTGACTAGTTACAGCTGTAACAATTTCTCAATCTTTAATCCACGTTCTGGTCAGCTAAAACCATCAGATCGTCAAGGATTCCGGAGCTTTCTTGGCCCCGAATAGGGCTAGCTCGGAACTACCATCTTGACGGCAATTCCACAGAAGGCCCTAGTACAAGTGGAAATGCTCAAGAGAAAACAAATGCTAATTACAAATTTGGAGAGAGGCTGCTTAGGGTTTTCATTTTCGAATGGACACTTAGATATTTTGTGTTATTATACAGGACATCTCCCCTCTAATATAATTGTATATTTTCTCTTTCTTTTTATTAGTACAGGAAGTTAGATTTTTTTTATAGTTAAACTTCAAAGATATCATTCATTTGTCAAACCCTTTATTTTACCTAATTTTGACAAGACATTTTAATTTATGCACAAATTTTGTGACATAATTAATTAGTTAAACACCAAAGTTCTATCTTGCTAATTACATAGGTGGTTCCGTCATTTGTCATGAAGATGTATTACTTTTAGCAATGTATCTAAAAATAACAAATCTACACTTTATTTGTTAACAAATATGAAATACATGTTGTTTTATTTTTCTTTTTGATCTCCGTTGCGTACTTTTCTAAACAGTATTTGCAGATAAAAGTGTCTGATAAGTGAAATACGACGCGACATTAACATAGTAGCTAAATACCCCCCTCCCCCCAAAAAAAAATAAAATAAAATGGGATCGAAAATAGAAAAGACATACCATTATGTAAGACAGATTTTATTTATTTTAAAGAGTTTGAGTGCATTTACAATATACCTGACGTAAACATTTACTACAAGTTTTTTTTGTAACAAAGAACCGTCTGTGAAGAATGACGTACGACACATTGCACGTCTTGTGTACCTTAAGCGACGCATCGACAACCAGTGCCCCATACGGATAAAGAGAACATGTTTTTTGCTGTAACTTTTAGATAAAATTATCTTGTTTATTCTTATATGATTTGCAGAATAAAGAATCCTTACTAATACTTGTTTCAAGCGCTTCCGGAAGTGAGACCGTTCACCGGACATCATGTCGACTACAAACCACACAAGCATTTATTGACGGTTGTTGCAAAAACAAAATTCTTAATGATTTAAATGGATTTTTTCCTTCATATCTTCATTGATTGTGAGTGAATTCGTCAATTTTACATAAAAAATCAACCATGCAGAGGAGTACCTGGGATCACTCCGGTTTCTGGTAGATTTCATGTTGGTCAGTCTTTAGTTTTCTATACAGTGTTTTGTATACTGATGTTTGTCTATTAGTCGTTTTTCACTTTTTGCCTTTGTTTTGACTGTTTCTGTTTGACTTATGAATTTTGATCGACTCTTTGGTATCTTCTGCCCTTTTATATACAAAGATACACTCTGGAAAAATGTGTATAATCCATTAATATAATTATGTGTTTTGAATCAGTGATTGCAAAACTAGTTTAACCTCTCCACTATCATATGTTCCAGTGTTGTTATTGTCTCTTTATTTTTTAAATATCTAAATAAACAAGTTGTATCCCTACTTATAGTTACTAACCTACCAAAAGCCATGAACTTTGTTATAGTTGTTGTTTCTTAATTTTTTTAACTACAAAAGATAGTTTAACACTTCTATGTGCCTATGCTTTAGACAAAGCCAAACATTTTGTCAGTTACTGTTGTTACAACTGTTATATGTTTACATTTTCATAGTTACCTCTCCATATGCATATATGTATGTACCTCACCCGTATGGAAGCCGATTACGGCCACATTGAAGATTTTAATGACGACATAATTTGTTTTCCAATGTGGCCCTAATCGGCTTCTGTACTTATATGTGTATATCTCATCCGAAGCAAGGAATATTGTCATTTTGATATTTTTATCTGTTATTTGTTTCAATTCTCATAACTAGTGTAACACCTCATTATGTGTACTTCACCAAGGCAAAAAACCTTGTCATTGTACTATTGTTGTTTTCTCTAAATTTTTGAAACTTTTTTTAACAATATTTCATTTGTATTTGCACGCCCATGATAAATCACACATAAATATGTGCTAAAAAAATACAACATAGTTCACAGTAAAATTATCAATATAGATTAGTACCTTTTATGATTATGTCGTTTGGTTGCTGTGTAAAATTATATTTATATGATGAACAAAGTCTAGGTACTGTACCTATATAGGACTATGTAATATACAATTACAAATCGTACTATAATGTAAAATACTAAGGTTTGTACATATATGATATTAAGTATGCTTGAATTTATTGCATGCATTTAATTTACCTAAATATTGTTTTTCATCTCTCTAGTATAAGGGTCAGGATAGGGGTCCTTCAATTCTGTATTATTTAATTCACTACAAACCAGTAAAAGTCTGAAATGGCCTATATCTGTACTCGACTGTACTGATTTTTACTCGACCAGTCTGAATTGGTCTGAATTTTACTCGACATTACTCGACCCCAGTCTTAACCATACTCGACCGTACTGATTTGTACTTTACCCTTATCTTTGCCAGTGAAAATAGTCTGAACTATTACTCAATTCTTGACCAATTTTTTCAGTCTAAACCGTACTCGACCAAAGGTCTGAACAATACTCGACCAGTCTGAACCATACTTGACCAAAAAACCTATATTTTTTTTTAATTTTAGCTGTTAAAATTAATTTCTTTTTTTCTGACATGACAACAGCCACAATAAAATAAAGATATATATAAAAACATATTTTTACATCCTTACATGATTCTCAGATTTATCAAATAGAGATAGTTAAATTAAATTATCTTATATAATAATTTAGTTATATTAATTTTAAAGTTTTAGAGTTTTGTTAAAAAAAAAATTTCTTCTATCTAAAAACCACACCTTTACTGAGGGTAATAAAACCTTATAAAGGTGCTTCTTGTTTAGCATGTGTTTTTTTTTTTTTTTAAACTTAATTTTCCTAAATTCCTAAAGAAAAACTATATAGGTTTCATGGTTACATACAATAGTTATATAATTATCTTTTTAATGAGGTAACAACAGCCAAAAAATCACTGAAATTGTTTAACCTTATATTAGAAATATATCTATTCTTATTATAATTTGGGATATATTATATATCAAAAAGGGATAAAAAAAATAAAGAAATAGATAAAATTTTTCTTCTGATTAGTGGTAAAGTATAAAGAAACACCTCCTGCTTGGGGCAAACTCATTAAAAAGATCACACCTGGTCAGAGAGTATTAATTGCTAATTAACATTCATTAAAAATTGTAACACCCTGTAAAACTTAAATCACAAGGCCTTTTGAATTCACTAGATAAGTAATACACGAGTTTAAGAAAAAAAGGGCTTTTTTTTACCTGTAAAACACACATGTACTAGGTAATTTAACCTTATTAAAGTGCTTCTTGTATGCCATGTCTTTAATTTTGACAAAAGTTATTTAAATTTAATTGAAATAAATTTTTTCTGCAACTTTGGAACACATTTCCTTTTTTAAATGGTTATCAAGGATTGCTATGGAAGTTCTATTATCATGATTATATTAAATTCTTGGTTTTACAAAACAAAGGTGATTTTTAAAATTTATTAAGTTGCTTTATATACTATTTTAAATATATTTTAATAAAAAAAAATGTTCACTGCATTATTAACTAAACTCAACTGACACCATAAATCTATACAAGGCTTAAGTAAATGGTGAAAATTGTCCAGTAACCATAAAATATATCTGAAACATTCAAAAAAAAATTTGAATAACATTGAAAATATAAGTAACAATTCAGTTTTGAGATTATTTGATCAGCTTGTTTTATTTTTATTTTAAAGGTGATATATATATATATGTAAGTGTTGATAAATATGGTTTTGAATTTATATTATGTTTATTGTGAAAGTTTGGTTTCAATGCCATAATGAATACATTTTAAATTTCAAATTGTTGTTCAAATTTCTAGCCAGGGGAAATAGCTGTTAAAAACAGTTCCTAAATTGATGAAATACAATAGATAGATACAAAAATTAGGTCTAGGTTGGTTAAGACTTAGTCTAGTATGGTTCAGACTAGGTCGAGTATGGTTCAGACTAGGGTTCAGACTAGGTCGAGCATGGTTCAGACTAGGTCGAGCATGGTTCAGACGAAAATGAAATGGTTAAGTACTGGTCGAGTAAAGGACGAGTACAAGTTCAGACTGTTAAGTATGGTTCAGACTACAGTCGAGTATTATCAAGTAAATTTCAGACCAATTCAGACTGGTCGAGTAAAAATCAGTACAGTCGAGTACAAATATAGGCCATTTCAGACTTTAACTGGTTTGTAGTGATTGTTTAAGCAATTCTTATTTATTATTCTTTATAATTTAGTCCATTTTCCCCTATTCTTTATATTTTAGCACCCCATTATTTTCTATTCTTTAGTATTTTTACCTATTTTTCTCTATTCTTTATTTTAGGGCCCATTTTTCTACAGTATTGGTCCATTACTCTCTATTCAATTAACCCCATCCAGACCCTCTAGTGTTAACAAGACGGATTAAAAGGTTGCGGACTGAACACAATTTCTAACAATTCAACCAATATTTATGTCGACAACGTTAAAAAAAAACTATACAAGGTAGACAACCATAACATATTGTTTGTTTTTGTTTTATAGCATTCTTCTTTGCGTGTCAAAAGTTGAACCACGGACTTTTTCTGATAATGGCATGATTTTATTCATTGAAACAACAATTATTATATTTCTCATACAGTTTTATTGGAGGAAAGTTTCTTTTACGATATTTTATGTTCTTTTGTTGCTAATATATATGTATGTTTGCATGCGTTTGCCTGTAACGTGTTCCACTTATTTTCCCACTTTCCTGTGTAACAGTATGTGTGTGGGCAAATGCTCACTAAATGTGCTTTATCGTTGACACCTCAAAACTGTACTCTATACTTATTGTACACGAAAAAATATCTGTTTTCGAATGTATATTCTTATTCATTTTACTAAATTTAAGTACATAATTGAACCAATGCATGCATGTGTACTAAACTAAGTCCTCTGTGAATGCTTTTTACATTTATCACAAATCCATAACGTATGATAGAGAAAACAAATATTTGTCGGTGATTGTTGATCGAAAACTTTGGCGGCTAATTAACTCCGAGTTTTGTTGCCGAAGTTTACCGATCACGACCTTGATAAACAATCAACAAAGAATCATAGTGCACGTGTTTATAAAAGTGAGAAAAAAAGTGATGTTTATTTGTAATTATTTACATTTTCACTGCGGTCCCATTTGTTAATTACACTTCGTCATAACAGGTGTTAAATTATTTGGTGTATTAGATTTTTTCTTTAAGAATCTGTAATACTATTTTTCTTCCAAGTGTATTTACTGTTTCTACCATCACGGTTTTCGCACGACACTTGCGCTGTGTGATTACCGAATTTCGAAGGAGGTGTCAGAGTAAAACACTGCATACGGAATAGTTGTCGATGAAATAGAGTACGGGAAGACAATAGTTCAATATCAGTACATTTCTATAAGATTTGGATAACATAAAGGATTTTCTTTTAAAAGAAAGTTATGTACACATGATTCACAGTATTCAAGTATATAATACATAGTCATCTTTTTTGTTGAATTTGAAGTATCAACTTTAAGTTCTTGATTATCTAGTATTTTTCATTATATAGATTTCATATTGGAGTCCCAAGAATAACGGGAGAAATATTTTAAATCTCTCAGGCATTTCAAAGGAAATGAAAACCCTCTCATTTTCATTTTCTGCTCATTCTAATTTTATGCGCAAAAGCATTTTTCATAGAAACCTCACTGAGGTCTTTTAGAACAAATCTAAATATTTTAAAATATATTCTTATTTCTTTGTGATTATTTTAATTGTATTGATTTAAAAAATAATAAGCTTAAATTATTCACAACATGTATTTTACATTCCTGATTAAACGTTATGAGCATGATTTATTCTAGCTACTGCATTTCGACCAAATGTTCTAAGGTACAGATTTGTTCTGTTTATATCTGTGTTGTGTGTGTGTATACTTTCGATGTTTAATTTCTTAGACGGACCCAAATTTCTCCTTATTGTCTCATATCTTCGTCGAAAGTTTCTTTCATATTCAGTATGTGTCTGCTCGTCATCGTGTGGATAATCACGAACCGGTTCCCAATCACTTATAATATCGAAGTCGTTTACCCTTGAATCATATGATATAGTTGATAAACTTATGGTTTCCTGGTAGTCAACTTCGTGATCAGCAGACTGCAAATTTCCTGTTTCCTTAAGGGCTTGTTTTGCCCACTCTTCTTCTGTTGCTTTTGAAAAAAGTCGTACACTTGATATTAGATGTAAAAAGATTCCCCACCTGTGGATAAGCATTCCAATAAACTGCAACAATATAACTAGGGCAAACAATACTAAGAATGTGACTGACAAAGGTTCGTATTCGTTTAATATGTAAAAACTCTTCAACTGATCCTCGTTGTTCTGAAGTATGAATATAGCCGTTGCAAACAGGAAATTCACTAACAAAAATCCAAATGCTACATTGTTTCTGAGAGATTTAAGTTCTTTTTGAATTTTCTTTTTTTTCTGTTTGTCTTCTACGATTGGGATAAGATACTTGTCAAGTATTTCATTCCAAAAATCAGTTTCCTCCTTCTTAATATTTTCTTTTCCCTTTAGTCCAAAGTATTCTTTTGACTGCCAAGCATCTGGATCTTTTCTTACTGCTGGACGTCTTCTTTCTGTACGAGGTACAAGTGTCGCTCCTATAGGTGGTAAAATACTTGATTTTGTTTTATTATCATCGCTTTTCTGATCGACTCTTGTTCCCAATAACTGCTTAATAAGCCCTGTTCTTTCTTTCACTAATGCCAAAACGCCTAAATTCTGCAAGCATTTGATTAGTATTGGAGGAGTTGCTGAATTAGTAGAATTTCCCGACTCCGTTTCAGCAATAATATCGTCTTCCGTTTTCTTTTCACGGGTACCCCATGACACAATATGAATATTGCATATGTAATACACGGTTAGGGTAATAAAAGTGGATGGAACCATGAGGTAATACAGCAAACCATGAACCAGACACATCAACTCCTTTGGATGAGCAAATCCTGCGAATACGAATATAAAGGGTATTTCTACGACAAAAATAAAATTTGGACTGTGCGACTTTTCTGTTGCGAGATTCACGAATAATCCTACAGTGACGATAACCATTACTAAGGTGTACACTGCCGACAGTAGCCTTGCAGCTACAATTTGCTTGTCATTGCTACATTTTATGCATATAATAGCATACAAAACCACTGGTGTTACAGCGACGACGTATGAATCAAACATTGTTATTTTCAGTACAGCATTGAAAGATCCGGTGATCAATAACGTAACCGTTCCTATACCAAGTAAACTTGAAGAAAGAATTATGAATTGGTATATAATGAACAACGTGCTGATATTATCATTCACTTTTGTTGTTACCCTCCACGATGAAAGCAAGTCAATAATATTTGCAAGTGTTGACGGTGCCCATCGTCGCCTCTGCACGAAAAACTCTTCAAAGGTTTGTGGCGCAAATGTGAAGGCATCTGCGCTAGCAGCGTAATCTATTTGCCAACCCTGCTGTAGCATTAATGTACATAACCATCTGTCTTCACCTGTAAAATAAAGGTTAACATATGAAACAAGAGGCTCTCAAGAGCCTGAATCGATCACCTGTCATTTTTTGCTTAAATCTTTCATCAATGATTATTTTTGCTTTTCAATATATATTAATGTGTGTCTTAAAAATGCTATTTAAATGTTCTTTGTATCTGTCATATTTTCTTCAAAAGCAAAAAATGCATTTTACTCCTATGTTCCATTTTAGCCATATTGGCTATGTTTCTTGACGTACAAAAAAATAAAAAACAAAATTTATACTAGATACTCCGAAACTCATTCAGCCCAAGTTTGGCTTAAATTGATTCAGCAGTTTCAAAGGAGAAGATTTTTTAAAGTAAGCAAACAAGATGAAGGGGTCAATTAACAATTTTGGTCATATAAACTTATTTGTAGATCTGACTTTGCTTTGCTGTTTACAGTTTATCTTTATCTATAATAATATTCAAGATAAATTAAATAATCGAAAACTGCAAAATTTCCTTAAATTTGTCAATAATTTGACAATCAATTCAGGTCAATAACCTAAAAATCAGATACCGGATTTGGATGATCATTTCAGGGCAGGTAGACCTTGACCAAATGAATACTTCTTGTCTGATTTGCTCTTAATGCTTTAGTTTTTGAGATATAAGTCAAAAACTGCATTTTACTCCTATGTTCTATTTTTAGCCATGGCGGCCATGTTTTCTGAGGAAACAGAAAATAAAACACAAAATTTATTCTAGATACCCTAAGAATCATTCAGCTTACGTTTGGTTGGAATTGGTTCAGTAGTTTCAGAGGAGAAGATTTTTTAAAGTTAGAAAACATGATAAACAAATTGTGTAAAATTGTCCTTAAAGGGCAATAACTCCTTAAGGGGTCAATTGACAATTTTGGTCATATACAACTTATTTGTAGATCTTACTTTGCTGAACATTTTTGCTATTTACAGTTTATCTTTATCTATAATAATATTCAAGACAATAATCAAAAACTGCAAAATTTCCTTAAAATTACCAATTTAGTTGCAGCAACCCAACAATGGGTTGTTAGATTCATCTGAAATTTTTAGGGCGGATAGAACTTGACCTAATGAACATTTCTACTCCTATCAGATTTGCTCTAAATGCTTTTTTTTTTAGATATATTCTATGTTCTATTTTAGCCATGGCGGCCATGTTTTTTGACGAAACAGAAAATAAAACACAAACTTTATTCAACTTACCCTAAGGACCATTCAGCTTAAGTTTGGTTGGAATTGGTTTAGTAGTTTCAGACGAGAAGATGTTTGAAATAGTTTTCACCGGACGGACGACGACGGACTCCAAGTGATGGCAAAAGCTCACATTTCCTTTGGAAAGGTGAGCTAAAAAGCAAATTAACTTGAAAAAAGAATGTCAACAAGGGCCCCGACTGCACATGTTTGTGTAATGCACAGAAACAATAAATTGATACTGATGCAAAAAAAAGCATTTACTGGTTAATGGGGAATCATTTTTCATAAATTTTGACACCAGGAATTAAATATCACGGATGTTTTCTTGGTAAATATAAAGTTTTGTCAAAATTCACGCATCTGTATTTTGGCAGCCATTTAAAAATGGTGGCCGACCAATATTTGTTTTCATTGGCATATACTTAAATATCAGTTTTGGTTGAAATCTTAGCAAAACATTTATATATCTTAAAATTTGTGTTTTTTTTAACGGAAAGTAAGTTAATACCACAAGTTTGACATCCGGGATCAATTCAAAATAGCATGTTATGACTACATATCGATTTTTGTTGAAATCCTACAAAAAGATGCTTGTTAAATACTAATTAACTGAGTTAACAGAATCTTCGCCCAGTTTACACCTCCTGCAAATTAACCTGAAAACTTGTAAAACATATTTTGTTGAAACATTAGAAAAAAAAAGTTTCACAAGATTTGTAAGAGTTTTTCACAAAAACTTAATTTTTAAGGTCATTTTTCCCTAAATTTCATATAAATCAATTGTTGACATCGGGAATAAATTTGGAATAACATGTTATACCTAAATATAAACTTTCGTAGGAATTCTAGCACAAACAGATGTTTCTCAAAATATGTGATTTTGTAAAAAAAATGTTTTAACAAAAAATTTGTTTAAGATTGAAAAAAATCGAAAGCAAACTTCCTTTTATGAGTATTATCACTATGTATAAAATTATGGAACTTAGTTGAGTGATCGTAGGACATTAAATTGCTGACGGATATACACAGAGACAGAGTTGTAATAATAGCGGTGCGCCAAGGGCCCCTTAAGGTAGTATGGGTATATTTCTCCATTTTGGATTGAAAAAAAGCAGAGCACAATAGGTCCAGATTTTCAATCAAGTCAGCAAAATTTGATGAGGAATGCAATTAACTAATGAGAGTTTTCATTTCAAAGAACAAATTTATAAGATTTTAACTTATAATTACTAAATATGTTTTCAAACGTAGATTATTTTTGCTTAATTTTCTATGTTTTTAAATTGGCGGAGGTAACTCTGAAATAGTACATTTTCTAAAGAAATATACATGAAATTTTGCTATTTTATGTTTTAGCGGGAAAAACGTACTGTGACCCTATATTTTTTTTTTTGATATTCTGAAAGCATTTTCTATAAGCTATCTTCTCGTATTTTATTTTACTATTCTATCATTAGTTTGGCTTCTATTCATATAATGATGTTTTCCCTGTATAATCCATACAAAATGTGTCATATTTTAACAACCTGAAGCTTGAGAAAATGCTCGATGACCTATCATTTTTCGTATATTTTTTTGAACATATCACAATATATATTACATTTTGGCAAAGTATGAACAAATTTTATCATTTTTAATTTTTACTCCAATACCACCTTAATTAAGGATGTATTGATATTTAATTTTGAACCACCTATCGTGCTGAAGCAAAAATATTTGTCAAGAAGATGACGGTCAATGCCACTGCTGGTTGACGTTTAGACCCCGAGGGTATCATCAGCCCAGTAGTCAGCACTTCGGTGTTGACATGAATATCAATTATATGGTCATTTTTATAAATTTCCTGTTTACAAAAGTATGAATTTTTCGAAATACTAAGGATTTTCTTATCCCAGGCATAGATTACCTTAGCCCTATTTGGCACAACTTTTTGGAATTTTGGGTCCTCAATGCTCTTCAACTTTGTACTTGTTTGGCTTAATAACTATTTTGATCTGAGCGTCACTGATGAGTCTTATGTGGACGAAACGCGCGTCTGGTGTATTAAATTATAAGCCTGGTACCTTTGATAACTATTATTTTGTTTTTGTCTGTCAGAAGGGAAATTTTGTACCTTGTTCATACTGGATGAAATGGCGTGCTTCCGAAGGAGGATTTGTATACATTCTCATCACATTATCGTCCATTAGAGCAGTAGCACGAAATAAACTAAAGGCTCCTGGACAACAAAGCACACACCCAAACACATGTTCTGAAGTTTTTTGTAGCCAATGTCCAACAGCATATTCAAACTGCTGATACCATACAATAGGCCCTACATTAAAGAGAAACGCAATGATTTAAAGAAAAACTTGAATCAATATAAATGTTTGTAATTTTACACTAACAACCAATAACTGATGTTCATGATATTCAAATTAGAATGCACATGCAGAATATGTTATTCTAAGTTATGTTTTCCAAAACATTAACCAAAACGTTGTGATTTTATTATTTTATTAACTCACAATTCTTAAGATTCGAAACGGCAAATTAGAGCAACTTAACAGCAGAACCTTCGGACATTACTTTCACATCTCGGATAAGGTCATTCTACCAGCAGTTCGACAACTTATCGATACAGACATCTTACACATATGCCTAGGAAGACAGATAACCTTTTAAAAGGGGGTATTTCAAGGTAAAAAATTATCACAGCATTTATATGTATCTGATCTTCTAGTGGTTTAATTATCTTTATATAGTGTATAAAACATTTATTCATTTTAATATGTTGGCACATTATTGACTAATCATTCGGCAGAATACAAATGCCCCCACCTTATAATGTACACAAAATTAGATAGATGTTCACCAAAAAATGACAGCGTAAAGCAGTCTTATAAAATACATGATATGATATATTATTCAGTAGAACACTGATGTAGACGATTAGCTTGAATTTCACTGATAGCAGATATTTTGTAGGTGTTTATAAAGCGTTCAAAATGTTTTATGTTCTACCGTTACACGGTATTCGTTACAAATGTAGACAACAGTGTAGGTTATTATCATAATAATTGTTTGGACTAGTATTGTGAAAATAATTGTATAAATTTCAAGATTATATATTCGTTACAAAAATACGTCACTGTTTGTGATGTCCTGTGCTGTCTGTCGTTAATGGAAGATGTTCGTTGTTATTCTGCGGTTTACATGTTGTATCGACTATTATATTATTTATTTGTGCGTTTCTCTGTGATGAGTGTTCTTGCGTGTGCTTGTGCTGTAACTCTGTCACGTAGTGTTGTCATTTTAGCGATATTTTTCAACATTGCCATATAAACGGGAGGTTTGGCTAGCCATAAAACCAGGTTCAACCCACCATTTTTTTTCTTAAAATGTCCTATACCAAGTCAGGAATATGGCAGTTGTTATCAAATAGTTCGTTTCTATGTATGTTGGCGTTTGTTTTTGTTGCACTTTTGTGTTTCTGTTGTTCCTTTATTTTCCTCTTATAGTTGATGTGTTTCCCTCGGTTTTAGTTTGTAACCCAGATTTGTTTTCTCTCAATCGATTTATGACGTTTGAACAGCGGTATACTACTGTTGCCTTTATTTACCGATGTCATAATCTCGTCAATCCATTAAGAAGATGCAAATCAAGGTAACAAACAAAAACTGAGGGAAGTACACGAACTCCAAACAGGAGTGAGAGTCGCGACATGGTAAGCGTCTCCTGATATGCATGCATAACCCGCCATTTGAATCCACACTTAGTCAATATGTAATAATCGGGAAAAGGGCACAAGTCGCTAGATATTAAGAAAAATCATCTTTTTCAATGAAGAGGTCTTGTCTGATATTAGATATGGACAACTTGAGCATGTAGCTTAACATTCATATATATGCTCATTGATCCTATTGATATCTTCGTTTAGTCGACAACAAAGATTCCAATCAATAATCTTCTTGGTTTTTTACACAAACATGCAAGATTATTACTCTCATTTTCTGTCAATTTTCGTTGCAAGTTAAAACGTTGTAGAGCAATAGTTAAATAAATCTTCCAGCGTTTATAAATAATTCAGACGCAAGAACTTCTAGTAAACAATTGGGATTAAAACTTTAGAGTTTTTTCAAAACAAAAAACAGAAAAAGAAAAAAAATGTAGCTTCCTTTTCCTCCTTAACAACCGAAAAATTCAGTATTGATTGCATACTTTAGAAATATATAAATTAAAGGTACACAAATATAATAGTAAATTAATAGATTAGTAAGCCTAGAAAAGGTATTACTATATCATGAAATAGGGTTTTAGATGAATAATTGGGTAAACATATTCATGTTCATTCTAGTAAAAGAAGCTATATATCTATAGAGTAAGCATTTGGTATGAAAAGACAACCGGTTGGGTTACTAACGTCTTTTTTTGAAAAGATAATATAATTCAAACGTTAGGTTTTTAGTTATTACTATTGTTGACATTTTTTATTAAAATAAAAATGTTATTAACTTGCAAATGTTTGACAACTTTCATCAAAATGAATTTGTATTATACTTGCAAATTCTTGAGAAAAAAACTAGGAAATTTAGGACTGTCTTTTAATTTTACTACAGTATTCAATGATTGTTTCCCTTATGAAAAAATCAAATATCTTTTCACATTTAAAAGAAAATTTGAAAAAAAACTAGAGGCTCTAGAGAGCTTGTGTCGCTTACCTAAGGCTTAGTACATCTTCAACAATGGACACTCTTCAACATTGACGACTAGAATATAATTCATGACTCAAATCTTTTCCTTTTCTGTTTAAATTTTTCTCTTTCTTCTGTAATTTTTGCCCAAAACACAAAAAAGTGTAGACGTTATTTAAGGGCAATAACTCATATAAAATGACAACGGTTAATTTCATCTATGCTGACCTATTTGCTGAACAAACTTGTCTTACTAATTATTTATGATTTTTTAAAGTTTCTATCTATCATATATTTCAGGGTTATAAGCAATATAGGAAACAAATTGGTCAAATACCTCATTTAAGGGCAATAACTCTTATGATGTAAATAGACGGTAGTTAGATCTCACTCAACATTTTGAAAACTTTTGCTTATGTCATATGATATCTATGTATAGCGTTTTTCAAGACAATAGTTAAACATTGCATTTTACCCTAAGTTCTATTCGTAGACATTTCGGCAATGTTGGTTGATACGTGGGGTTATGAGCCATTTTTTTTAAAACTAGATACCCAAACGATGATTGTGGCAAAGTCTGATTAAATTTTGCTTAGCGATGGGAAGAGCTCACACTGTTCCTTTTAGTCAGGTGAGCTAAAATGCTTTATTTTTTGTATCTTTAATTGTAAATACACTTTAGCAAGAGCGGATCCCAATTTTTCAAAGAGAGAAGAAAAAAGGACACATGGTGAATTTTCGTTGTTTAAAAAAGAAGGGCTGTAAAATATGACATATGTTGTCAAACAAATTTGCAATTATCTAAATAAGGTCCTTTTGCACACAACCATTATTCGCATGTTAATCTGCGTCAATGTTGAGTAACACTTCAGATTAATCTTTCTTCAAAATATTATTCAATTGTTTGTTGACGGACTGTAATCATGCAAACGAATAATTCAAATGACAAAAGGATCACTCCGCATTATGATGCGTGAAGGTAAATACAGATTATCCGTTTACTAAGCCATGAAAATTGCAATACGAGGCCTTAAGACCATCCAACCATTTTCAAAATAATTGAAGACGTTATTGGTCGAAATCTATTTTTGCAGATATACAAAAAATATAATATACGGAAAATGAAATTCCGCAATCAAAAAGAAGATTTCTTTTTCAAAAAGGTATTTATTCCCTTAAATTACTTATTAATTCCCCAAAATTAAATGCATAAAGGATGTTAAGGTGCTCACACCGAAGCAACTATAACATTTGATGTTGTTTAGAAAAAGTACAAATTACAAAAGTAATACAAATAACAGTGTTTAAATCTTAAAAACAATAATAAGTCCTTTCAATAACATGATGGATAAATAAAGGCAACAGTAGTATACCGCTGTTCGAAACTCATAAATCGATAGAGAGGAAGCCCCAAAACCGAATCCATTCCATAAATATAACAAATATTTCGAACAATAATAAACCAATATTTTCTTGCCTGTGCGAATTAATTTTTAGATGATTTATCATATAAAAAGAGCCTGTAATAATATTCATCGGAAGTTGATAGAATAACTTAATATCTGCTAACCTGATCCAACAGGACGTATTCGGCCACATACAGCGCCAACTTTGCGATTCTTTTTCATTTTGTCTATCAGTTTCTGTACTGCTTCAGGTTTGAAATCTACATCTCCATCCAAAGCCAAAATGAAGCTGTTATGAGCCTAGAACAATTAACGATTTTTAATGTAAATAAATATATATCAGATAAACGCAAAGCAGTTTCTAGAAGATAAACATTTTTTCTAATTTTTCTAAATTTTAGTTTTATAGCAAACATGTTTTTTTCATATACATACACACACTGTATTTTGTTCCATATATTCTTTCTTCGTACTAGTTGAATTTATTTGGCAGTGATTTTTTTTCATCTATAGAATGAATAAAAAGTCATAGACAAATATTAACAGAATTAAAAATAAAATCAACCAGGGATCGATCGAGCGATCGTGAGAGAGAGATGAACAGAGAGGTAATGACTAGATAGCAACATCTTAAGTGTCGATTGACCGTTTTTACTATAAATCAAATTTACCTTGTCAACATTATATTTGGGCAATTGGTTCAGTATCGATGCTATTCGTCTGTAGTGACATCTTTTAATTGTCTCCTTCGCAAAAAATGAATCTTCCAAATTGACACCCATCATCTTATATCCCAATAAGTAGTACATGTACATGATCTAGATTTACAATAAAGTATCATAGTATATATTCAGATGGCTTAGGAGTACGTTACTTTACCAATGTATAATATTTGGGATATCTTTCCATTGCATTCAATGATTCTGAATTCAAAACCTTAATGGGCCTGTTTATTTCTCTTGAAATAAACTTTCCTTTAAACAAAAAATGTAATTCACACGCTATATGTCTCAAAATGAAATCCTACTCTAATATACTATCAATCAGTACAATGTAAGCTTGTATTTCAATTTCATTTAACAGCAGCTGAACGTTGAGGTCGCCATTACGCGGAATGATCGTTTCCTGAAATCTAAGATAATGAAATCGTAAGTGGGGAATATAGTCATCACATAATATTTCCCAGAACAACCATATCTATCATTTACGGAAGTTGCTTCATTCAAAAACTGTTTTGACTACCTCCATAATTCTATTTCTAGTGTGTCAATATGGTTTACTAAAAAATTGAGTTTCTCAATTGTTTATTCAGTATGTCGACTATTGTTTTTCCGTTCGGATTTTCCTTCACCCAACACCACTTTATGTCCTTCGACTTACTTGTTTTTAGTATTTTTTTATTTCAATTAATAAAAAACAGATAAAACAATTGATTGACTTTACTTGCGACCATCGCTTTTTGTGTCTGATTTTGTCTTTATCTTTTAAATGAATCGTCATTTCTGTTCCACCTGGCATCGTCCAATTCAATCGTCCCCCATATGGTGTAGTCGTCTTTGTTGGCTTACTATCCCATGTCAGATGGCCCCTAGCGACAGATCTGTGATTGATAAATAAAATTACATGATATCAATTCGATTGAATACGGAATAACATTAAATTCAAAGCCCCCCAAAAAGATAAAATTATAATTAAAAGGTCCGTTTACAATCTACGACTAAAAACAAAAGTCGTCTCCCTGTGTCAGGATCTCAGTCAAACTATCATTGAGTTTATCAAACATTACATAACTGCTATCAACGTAGTTATCATTTTGGTTGAAAAAAAAGAAAGAAAAACTGATTATCATATGCCATCATTGCTGGAGACCTCTTTTGTATAAGGTTGTAGATTTGAGAAAAATAATCTTTCTTAAAAACTTAGAAATAAAAACTAAAAACATAAAGCTTACGTTGATGCCTCTTCCATGCATTCTACCAGCTGTTTTACCCATTCGTTTGGCAATCTTTGTCCGGATATCTTATCAGTTTCAAAAGCGTCATCAAAAATTATATGAACTGAAAAATATTCAAATGCTATATTGAAGGCTACATTGTAATTACTTGTAAAAAACGAACGTTTTGATTTATTGAAAATAAAAACACATCTACATGAGGAACTTGAACATAAAGGAAATGGCATGGTATTTAATCTGTTCACAAAACACTAGACGTATTATAAAAAACGACACACTTACTTTCGTGTTCAAAGTAATCTACATCTACTTTAAAAACTTTTTCTGCTATCTTATATTTACTCCGGTGAAAATCCAACCTGGAAAAAAATAAAGAAAGTTTTAAGCTAAAAAGTGATAAGACCGTCTGTTGTTTGAATAAATAACAATGCTTAAAATTGATTACATTTGTAATTAATGAATGTATGAATAAAACTGCTATGAAACAGACAAATACGATGAGTCGAATTCTTAATGTACTAGCTCACAAAATTATAACTTGCCGGTTAAAGACATGATTATACCACCGACCGATTAAGTTGTATTTGTGTAATTCAATTTTTGTAAAGTTTGTGTTGTTTATTCAACTATCAAGATACCAAGATGGTTCAACCAACTTCCGGTTTCCATGATTTGACAATCCAATAGCACATACTCTTGAAACATCAATTTGTGAAGCAACAGCATCGACAACGGTCTTGTCTTTCGTTTTTTTGTTTAAACAATTCTCTATTTAACACGTTCATATTCGGTTGTGAATTAGACATTTTGTATTGTTCTACGGCTAGATAAGGTATTTACATATCCGCTATTGTTTGATGTCGCATCACAAAATCGATGGATTTTCACAAGAGTAGCATGATGGGTTTCACAAACGAAGAGGAAAAGCTTGTCCTTTCGGAACACATGTCTTAACCTATAGTTTTTGGTTGAGTGCGTGTTGTTCAATCTTTTATAAACTTTTCATGAATTTCTGAAAAGTATTTTGTGCGTCTTTTTCATTGGATATTGTGCTGCCTGTCTTTCTTCGAAGTATGGTTTATATTGTAACTTGTAAACTTCTTCTTGTTCTGTAAAATATTCAATTATAAAAAAACTATTCGATCAACAAACCTGAATAATGATTTGAGGAGTTGTAACATTTCCTGTCTTGTTTCATGCCACATTGTTCCACATATGTAAACATACGGCTTGGCCTTTTTCCTTTTCTTTCGCTCTTCGATTTCCTTCGCTAATGGATTCTCTTCGTCTCCATTTCCTCTGTCAGTCTTTGTTTCGTCTTTCCTTTTCATCAGCAATCCAAGAGATGAGAAGAAATTATCTCTAGTTGGTAATACGAATAATCTAGAAAGAAAAATTAAAGGTGATTAAAAGAGCTTCAAATGTTCGATCTATATCTAACTGATCATTCGATTACGGATATACAATGCCTTCTACTACTATGTATAGGCAAAAGATAATGTTAATGTCTGGGTTATAATTCCTCGTTCTACTGAAAAAAGCACATAGTTGAAGGCAATACGATGAACAAATCATTTATATATGTGACTCATCATTTGGTCTTTCATTTACTAAATGTGCGTTCTTATTTACTATTAAAGTTTGAAATGATTAAAATGAATATTTCTTAGGAAAATATGATACCATGTAGCTATTGACTATTCGTTTAATACTTTTTTCTAAATATAAGTCGTTTGTTCGTATAAAAAAACGCATATATACCTTTGGTCTCGTTCCATCCCGTTCCACTGTGGATATATAACATACCATGTCAAAAATATAACAGACACCCACAATCCAATACTAGAACCAATCCACATATGTAGACTATCAATGTCAACACTTGGACAAGAAACAGCGAACCCAAACATATTACTGTCCTCTGGCCAATTATAGCAAAATCCTATAACTCCACCAAAACACCCAAGTGGCACTAACGCCAATGGAATAAAGAATGATATCCGCTGCATGTGTAATTTGCAAGCAAGTACACCTTCATAGGAACCGAAAATAGCACAGTAAATATATATGAACATTAACTTATGGTGTCTAAAGATTTGTAAACTTTTGTCAAGGAAAGTGTCTTTTAAACTTGCGCTATCTTCTGTAAATGTCCACTCTATATCTGGCAGCAACAACTTTGCCATCAATAAAAATATACCCACTTTTATGATGCACATTTTCAAATTTATTTTTGGTCTTGCTTTGTCCACTGCTATTCTCCAGTCTTTTATTTTTAAGTTGAAGGATCCAATTTTCAAGTTACAAAATAGAAAATTTTGACAGTATCCCATTGAAATTCCAACTAGACTTGCTACGAGACAGATTTTCTCTTGGGTAGTATACTGAGTCTGATTTGTATCGCTTAACACTATATTTGGTCTTACTATCGCACAGACTACGACTCCACATTGAATTAACATTGCTATTACCGCTATGGTTACACGTACCAGCCGCATTGCAAACTTATTTTTCTTCCTTGCTAACACAATTTGCTTTAAAATGTTTAGAATTGACGGAAGTGTGAATGACGACATGACAAGAGTTATTCCTGATGTCATGGAATGGTAACAAAAAACTTTGAACAACAGGTAGGCTGTTCCACACGTCTCTGCACTATCGAATATGAAAACCTATATATAGATAAGAACAACATAAAATTATGTTGGTTTTTTTTTCATTCATTTGATACTAATAGTCGTGGATAAAAGAATACACATGTTCAAAACTTTCCAAGATAATACGGAAGTGTATAAAATTGAGAATGGAAATAGGGAATGTGTCAAAGAGACAAGAACCCGACCAAAGAGCATAAAACAGCCCAAGGACACAAATGGATCTTCAACACAGCGAGAAAATCCCGCACCCGGAGGCGGTCTTCATTTGGTCCCTAAACAAAATTGTGTACTAGTTCAGTGAAAATGGACGTCCCACTAAACACTGAAGCATATAAATGAACTAAAATTTAAAAAAAAAACATACAAAACTAACAAAGGCCAAAGGCTCCTGACTTGGGACAGGCACAAAAATGCGGCGGGGTTAAACATGTTTTGTGAGATCTCAACCCTCTCCCTAAACCTCTTGCCAATGTAGAGTACACAAACACACAGCAATACGCACAGTAAAACTCAGTTTAAAAGAAGTCCAAGTCCGATGTCAGAAAAGGTAACCGAAGAAACTAAACTAAATAATTAGATATAAGAAGATGTGGTATGAGTGCCAATGATACAACTCTCCATCCAAGTCAAAATTTAAAAAAGTAAACCATTATAGGTCAAAGTACGGTCTTCAACACGGAACCTTGGCTCACACCAAACAGTAAGCTATAAAGGGCCCCCAAAATTACTAGTGTAAAACCATTCAAACGGGAAAACCAACGGTCTAATCTATATAAAAAACGAGAAACGAGATGAACTTATGAACCACATCAACAAACGAATAAGTCTGTTTAAAGGTTTGGTTAGCTTTGAGGTTAATGACGACATTGTTGTGCTTTGTATAGAATATTACCATAAAAGATTGGATGTGAAATACCTGAACGTTTAAGATGTCTGCATGTTCATTTATATTTACGAATGATGTCCTTGTACCGATGATAAAATTTAGTAAATGTTTTGACTAGTTTGTGATATCGAAAACCCTGGTGTAATAATTTTTCAGTAAATCAGAGATTTCTTTCGTTAAAATCAAATACGTTGTTACATACACGAGCGAATTTAACAAATTGAGATATATAAACACCATAAGATGTTGACAAGGGAACGTCACCATCTAAAAATGGATAATTAACAATAGGAAATGAAAAATTGTCTCTTTAATCGTAAATTTTGGTATTAAGCTTCCCGTTCAACATGTTCAGGATATATATATCAAGATCCAGGACAGGGCAGGGCAGTGTTCAGTGTTAGTATTAGCTTTATTTAAAGTCAGTTCAGCAGGATAAATCTCTTTAGGGTACATACTGAAGGCGTCATTATTGAGAGCCAATGTAATATCCAAATATCTAAAAGTGTTATAAAATATTTGTATCAGATGTTGTTTCGATGGGTCTTTGCTAATTTTAGTCATAAATTGTAACTCATAACAATACAGAAACAGGTCTGCAATACGTTGTGCACAGTTAGTCCCCATTGGAATTCCGATAACTTGACGATATACGGAATCTCCATAGCGAACAAAAATGTTATCTAGTAAAAATCCAAGGGCAGTTATCGTATCAAAGCAGGTCCAATTGACATAGTTCATTTCTTTGTTGTTACTAAACAAAAGACCTATATATATTCGCATTCTGACTTTTCATCTTTAATTATGTGTGTGAATTTTTTCTTAATGAGATTATGAGGCAAAGTGGTATATAGGGTAGAAAAATCAAATCTTTGAACAGATTCGAAATCACTAATATCAGCATGCAATTTATCAAGTACTTCCAACGAACTTTTGACACTCCAAAAGTTATTAATTCCACTATTTTCAAATGTCTTATTTGAACAATTTATTACCAGGTTTTTGATTGTACCAAGTGTACTAGTAAGTAGAATAGACAGTTAAGAAGTGGAACAATGGCTTGAAAACGAAATAAATCTATATTTGTACGGTGTTTTGTGCAGCTTCGGAAGCCAGTACATAGTTGAAACTTTCATTGTATTTGGTTCTCTTGTAAAGAGCTCGAGGAAGCTTAAAGTTTATGTTTGTAACAGATGTCATTTTCCGAAAATGGAGTCAGTTGGAATGTTGGTGAATTCGTGATTTCCTTTTGCAGAACCTCAATGTAAAATTTACGTCAAACAATAATGATATTATCGGCAGCATTATCAGCCGAGACAAAAACAAATTCCTTGACGAGTTCTTTTAGCTTATGTTTGGTACGAGAAATAGGGCTATTATGGTTGTTGTTAGGAGTAAAATGTTCTTTAAAATGTTCAATACGAATATCAATTATGTTCATTACTGAATTAAAAAAGAATTTAAGGAATTTTTGTCAGCTTTTTCTCGTTTTATCCATTTCGTGCAGTAAGTGCGGAGTGAGTCGTTGATGATGTTACGACACTCGTTCCAATTAATAATTGACGGGGGCGATATTTATGTCCTTAGCAATGATTTCAGCTCTCGGTCATGTACGATGTTAAGGTTTTCTGTTATAACATGGGAACTGGGGCCATAAATGTATTCGGAATTACTGCAATTTCATGACGTAGGTGTATTGTCACTGATATTAACATATTTACACACTTCGCTATGATTAAATACATGTTTCCGGGTAGATAATTTTGTGAACATAACAAATAAGAGGGAGCTCAGTATCATCAAAATAGCCAAGAATTTGTTCTTTGACAGAATGATCATTAAAAATACCGGCAATAATTACAAAATCAAAACCTTTATTGACATATTTGATTTTAATAAAATGTTTTTTATGATCTTCAGGACGATCAATTTTGGGAAACAGTTTAGAATAACAATATGCAATTATAATTTGGACGATTTCATACTTGGGACTGCAATATGGAACTGTGTTGCCATCCTCTATTTGATGTAATTTATTAACAAGTAAAGAACAGAACTTGGTTAACAGATAATGTCTGTCGTTGTTTTTTGAAATAGTAATTAGGTTCGAAATATTTGTATTGTTGGTACGAAATGTTCTCTGATGGTGATTTATTCTACGCCAATGAGAACGGTTTTTACGAACAGTTTTAATAACTATATCCAAAATGTTAACAGAATCGGTTCTTGACATATTACCAATTCCCATGATTTTATCATTAAGTCCGAGAGGACAGACTGTCTGTAATTTTTTAATCCAATTTAGTTCAATTATTTTCCGTGATGGTACAAACTTTGAATGAGATTCCCCAGGGTGCTTATTTACTACTTCTAAAGGTTCAACTGTTAAATATTTAATATGATGATTGTGCTTCTTAAGGTGTTGATAAATGATACTTTTAAATTTATGGTGTCTTCTAAATCGATAAAGGTGTTCTTGTGTGCGTTTGGATAAATAGCGTCCAGTTTCACCTACGTACTGAATACTGCATCCCGGTTTGTTTCATGTGGGTAAATATATAGTACTGTTAGTTTTTCAAATTATATCCGTTTCAACATTTAAGGAAAATGTGCGACCATTAAACGTGGATCTTACCGTATTGTTGGTGACAAGACGGGGACATGTAAGTCATTTTTTAGCATGACACTTATCGATAGAAGGGTAATCACGATGTTTATTATTAAAAATGTCAGCGACTGTAGTATTTTTAGATAAGCGATTTTGAAGATTGAGACGTGTAGATATCCTTTGAACGAGTTTGGTGTT